AATGCCTTAGAATAAAAACATGTCATTAATATCTTCTTACACCAAAACGTGAATTTCATGAGAAAAGTAGACACAGAGACTTAACCTATTGTTTCATTCCCTACTTCCACTGCGGCCGACTAGTTTCATTGAATTCACAGCTCATCAGTGCAGCGAAGCAAATAAAGTAAACCTGATGAGTAAAGGGACTATACATCTAAAACCAAAAAAGAAACATTGTGGGTCATTCTTCAGAAACGAAACCACTATTATTTCTTTGAGGGTAAAAGTAGTGATAGATAGATAGATTTCAAAATGCCTTAGAAATAAAAACATGTCATTAATATCTTCTTCACCAAAACGTGAATTTCATGAAGAAAAGTAGACACAGAGACTTAACCTATTGTTTCATTCCCTACTTCCACTGCGGCCAACTAGTTTCATTGAATTCACAGCTCATCAGTGCAGCGAAGCAAATAAAGTAAACCTGATGAGTAAAGGGACTATACATCAAAACCAAAAAAGAAACATTGTGGGTCATTCTTCAGAAACGAAACCACTATTATTTCTTTGAGGGTAAAAGTAGTGACAAATAGAAATATAATTCTTATTGTACATTAATATTTTCATCAGTATAACTCTATAAAGTCAAACTTATGAGTGTTTTATCTAAAACTGTTTTGGTTTAGAAAATGTATGGTAATGAAAATAATTATGAAAAAAAACAACATTGATAGTCGCTTTATCCTCCCAACATTCTAGAACACTTTGCTGCCCACGATGTTTTATTTGCACCACCACAGATAAGCACTTCCGATTTTTTATGCTTCGACGAGGCTTCATCTTTTCTTTAGCAGCTAACTCTAAATTTGCAGCCATAAATTTGTTTGTTTGCTTGTTTTTAGATATTTCGCGCAAGGCTACCAAAGGGGTATCTGTGCATAGTGGGCCCTAATTTTGAACTGATAGACTAGACTCACTTCGGAGCTAATCAACAACACCTACCACTAAATCTTGAGATACTTTTGTCTTACCGAATAGGAGGACTTGACAGCCACTCTTTTAACACACCAATAACCCCACAGTATGGAGTTAGTTGGAGCAATAACAGGTCTCGAAAAATAACTAGCATGCTAACTAAGCACTTGGTCACGCTCAAACTTCAGTGTACTGTAACAAAATGGTAAATGAGCGACAAAACTTTAAAACTATTTGTTGATACAGCCAACGGGAGGTTAACATCATTTGTTTAATCAAGAATATATTTTCTAACAGAATAAAACAGTTAAGTTTAACCACCTTTGTTGAAAATATCACGTTTGGGATGATATATCTAAACTCGTGATTTTATTTATTGAATAGCTCTTTAGTGATTGGAAAACTGCCAGTCTTTGCTATATTATGATACACAGAATGGGTTTTTATTCAACCATTTACTTAAGTTTGATAGTCTTCTGTAATACTGGTATCTTCTTCAAATATCTGATATTAATCGTGGAGAGTGACTTGAATGTAATTTTTGGATATTTACATAAATTTACAAGTATATCTCTGGTGGTCATGTATAAACACCAAATTAGTTTTTTTTTAAGTTCGACGTGAAACAGCATGCTGGCAAAAAAAGAAAAAATTAACTTTGTTCCTTACTTTCATGGGAGGAAATCAAAAAGCATTTAGACCAATACGAAGATTCTATACCGTAACTGAATTGACCAGTGTACTACAATTACATTTATTAGATACACAATTGCGTCTGTCGCCACTGAAATTTCTGAAACTTTATTTTAAAATGTATTCATATATAACCTTAGAAATTAAAGGTAGTCAGTCTCAAGAATGATACATATGAAGATGACTAGAATGATAATGCAAATATATAAAGAAACAACTGAATCATAAGCTGAATCATCTACAGTAGGTAAAGATAAATAACTGATGAAAAAAACAAACAAGTGAGACCTAATGGGATATATAAAATGAAACTTTCTAATCAATAATGTTTTTAAAAATTCAGTTTTATTTCTTTCTTTAAAAATTTTCAATAGACAATTATACTACCGACTATTCATCTACCTGACTGACAGATAGCCTCCTAACTATTCATCCATCTAGTCGAAAAAATAACTACAGCTAAATATTTAATTACCAAGACTGTGAACTTATCTATATCAATATAATAGTACTGTCTGTTGTTTGTTGTATGTCCATGTAACTACTTCGCAGAGTGTGGATGGATCTTCACCAAAACTGATATGGGGGTTTATTGGGTCAATGGAGGGGGGTGGGTGGATACAAATTTTCAGTTTTGCGGTTTTTATGGGAGTTTTGCATTTGTTACCAC